GATGATCACGTATGATGGCCTTGTAGCTCAACATAGATGGAGGGCACCAGGTTGAAAGCTCTAGCAATCTTGCCATTCTATATGGCAAGTCAACATGCATGCTCTGAGCCAATAGCTTTGCAGCATTCATGGATGGAGGGACAAGGGTGGGGTGGTGATGAAATGAGCATTGTTAACTCTGATCCTTTTGTGGGAGTGGACACTTTTAATGGAGTTTGCGAGCTACGGCTGAGCTCTGGACAGCCCTGGTTATCCCATGATTTTTTTTTATTGTTCTAAGGAGGCTTTCAAATATGGTGGCTTTGAGGTATGTCGGCGTCTGAGCTGCAAGGGCATTGTCCAGGCTGATAGGTTCTGGTGCGCTTTGATGGAGAAAATTCACTTTTTCTTTCACCCATCAAAATCTACAGCCCTTTAAATTCCCAATCCTTTCGCCAGGTCAAGAGGTTTGAAGGGAAGAGGAGCAATGAACTATGCACTGGGACGAAACAAACTCCATCCTTAACATAACTGCATCTGATATCACCTACTGTTCCAACCAATGCTACATGAGCCCTTCTCCAATCTGTACCTGTGCTTAGTTAGCAAACTAAGACATTTGACGAAAATGTCATTTAGTTCTGTCTTTCCCAATCTGGTGTTCTTAGGTATCTTGGGCTTCCTCTCTACTAGTATCTTGGAAACACAAATACAAATGGATGAACTGCTAAAACTGCAGCCAGTTTTTTGTGCAGTGGTTAAGATATTGGAATAGAAATTGAGAGACGATGAATTCTAGTCTTCTCTTAAGCCCAAAAGCTGGTTGGGTGACTTTGGGTCAGTTGTTCCCTTCAGGGTTGTTGCTGTGAGGAAAATAGGAGGAAGCATTATATACATCATTGTGAAGTGTGCATAACAAAGGCAGGAAATAAATGTAATAAATGAAAGCTTTTCCCTTGCAAATCTATCTTAACCTACATTTGTTTGGATAGGGTACTGCTGTTTGAATAGAAGGTTACCAAAATCGAAAAGCTTCAGCTTCTGCAGCACAGGAAGATACATTAATAGTTAATGGCTTCTACATATATATGAAGGTGTTTCATTTATTTACCCCATTTTTACTCAGTTTGAGCAGTTGGTTGGCTAACCTTCAATGAAGTGCAATATGGGAAAGAAAGAAAGGTTATTTTATCATTAGAATCCTGGAGAAAGAACGTCAGCTCTCGATTGGTCTTCTAAAAGAAAATAAAGAGAAAATGAAAACAATAGATGATGATCTTTATCTCAAATATATATGAATTATGCCTGCCCGAGGACTTTGGGAAGTTTAAGCCACCACTGGAAATAAATCTATCCTTTAATTTCTGCAGATCTCAAATTATTCCTATTTAAAATATGTTCTGTTTTAATTTTCTCCATTATATGTTACTGTGAGAGGTGACAGAATAGATAGATAGATAGATAGATAGATAGATAGATAGATAGATAGATAGACAGATAGATAAAGAGATATAGATAGTCTTAAAGATTATTATGATATGTTCTTTGCCTTTTCAAAAGACCTTTATAATAATAAGACATTTACTATATAATAAATACTCAGTCTACATATCAAATATAAAAAGTGAAACAGCCAGATGTTTCATTAATAAATATGCCAATATCTACTACAATATCTACTAAAGTACTAATCAGTACTTTATAACAAGGTTGGATACAAAGATTGGGAATGAACTTTTTAATTAGCTGGATGCCAAGAATCTTAACAATGTCTCTGGGTTTCAGTTTCTCTCTTTCTCTCTCACTCCCCTTTACCCTAACACAGTGTGTGGTTCTCTCCCCTTCTTCTTACTAAATATATTTTCCAGAGTCACAAACATGAAAAAAGGTATAAAATAAAGGAGATGGAGATGGATTGGGTTAATTAATGGTTAGGAACTGGCCTTTCACCTTGACAATTGTAGACAAGTTCAACCTAAGAGCTTAAATCAGGTTTTGCTGCTGGACTGCTCAATGGATATTAATTCACATCATATAATGTGGCAGGATTGTCCCAGAAATGAACTTGTCAGGGACGTGACCTTCAAGTCACTGGATGGAGCAGCAAAACAGTGGGGTGATGGGTGTGGGACGAGTGGGGGGTTAAAAAGGCACACATTGCTTAGGCGCTGATTGAAAGTGACTTTTTCAATAGTTGGGATATTTCATTTTCGAAAAGAAACATTAAATGGCTTCTAGTGAAGTTGCATCCATATGCAGAAAATTTCCCCTGTGTTCGTTCTCCATTCTTATTCAAGTGAAAGAGAATTGCTTTTCAAAAGGGTTTTCAAAGTGGCTTTCAAAAGAGAAGAGAATTTCAGGGACATTGTCCTAGGTGGAAAGCAGTGTCCTTGGTCTTGTTTAGAGAAAAAAAAAATGGCCAAAGAAGCCAAGAGAATGTCCTATCTTCTATTGCGCAATCACGTCATGAAAGGTCTACGTGCTCCCCAGCTTCTCACACTTACATCTCAAAAAAAAAAAAAAAACATTTGCTTGTGCTTGGATTTACACCCTTCCTACTCTCTAAAACCTCCAAGAAGCTTATTTGAAAAGCACCGGAGGGCAGGATACGAAACAATGGATGGAAAATAATCAAGGAGAGAAGCAACCTGGAATTAAGGAGAAATTTCCTGACAGTGAGAACAAACAACCAGTGGAATGGCTTGCCTTCAGAAGTTGTGGGTACTTCATCACTGGAGGTTTTTAAGAAGAGAATGGAGAACCATTGGTTTGAAATGGTATAGGGTCTCCTGCCTGAGGAGGGGGTTGGACTAGAAGACCTCCAAGGTCCCTTCCAACTCTTTTCTATTCTGTTCTATGTTAAAACCTGGAGCAACACTTCTGCAATGGAATTGTATGACTAGCATCCTAACCACAGGTTGAGTAACATGGTGACAATATATATAACTAAGAATCATTTGCCTGGCCTTTTTCATTTTCTAAAAAACCTTTCTTTCTTGACGTGCCTAGTTTCCCCTTTTCCTGGGTGACAAACAGCAGCAGAAGTGAACTGTCTAACCCCCTGACCTTAGGTCAGACCTCTGAACTTGTCTGTTAGCCACAATGCCATGAACTTGGCAGAGAGGTTATTCAATCAGTGTCGTCATCAAGAGCTGGTCCTTGGGGAATTTGCCAGCTCTGCAGATGGGAAAATGTCAGCTTTTTTCAGTCAAGGTGAAGCTACCACCACTTGGATCTAGCCTTGTGGTTTTGTCTGGAGACTGCCTTTTTTGTTTCCAATAAAGGAGAATATTTGTAGCTCAGGGTTGAAATGAAGGGTCCTTGGTGCTCTCTGAGTTTGTTTGTTTCTTGCAGATGTTTCATTTTCCAAACTAGATAACACAGTAAATGCTAGACTAGCACTGATGTTTCTACCTAGTTTGGGTAATGAAACATCTGCAAGAAAACAAACAAGCTCAGAGAGCACCAAGACCCCTCACTGTCTTTTTTTCCTTTCATCTAAACAATGGGTTGGACATCTAGCATAGTTTGTCCTCTTTCTGCTCATTTTTAGAAGGACTTGGAACATAGACTAATAAAGTTGGAAGGGACCTTGGAGATCTTCCAAGACCCTATAACATTTCAGAGAAATGATGGTTCAATCTCTTTTTGAAAGCCTCCAGTGATGGAGCACCCACAACCTCTGGAGGCAAGCTGTTCCACTGGCTGATTATTTTCACTGTTAGGAAGTTTCTTAGTTCTAGGTTACTTCTCTCCTTGGTTAGTTTACATCCATTATTTCTCGTCTTGCCTTTTGGTGCTTTGGAAAATAGTTTGACTCCCTCATCTTTGTAGGAGCCCCACAAATACTGGAGCACTGCTATCATGTCTCCCCTAGTCCTTCTTTTCATTAGAATAGATGTACCCAATTCCTGTAAACGTTCTTCGTATGTTTTACCCTCCACTCCCTAATCATCCTTGTTAGTCTTCTCCGCACTCTTTCCAGAGTCTCTGCATCTTTTTATATTGTAGTGACCAGAATTGGAGCCAGTAGTTCAGTAATGAGTTTATTATTCTGTGGGAAAGACTACCAATATGAAAACTAAGGTGACTCAATGCATTCTTGCTAACCATCTCTGATGACTCAGTCTACAATACTAGTCTAGAAAATGTGCAAAGGTCACACTCCCATCCTGTCCACAACAGTTAATCCCTGTTTCTACACCTACACCTCTGACCCCTTTTAGTAGGGTGAAATATGAGGGTGGGGAGATAAAAGTGTCTGGAGAACACTAGCAGCTTTCCCCCTGGTTATGAGTCAAGGCTCAGCTACCACTTCCCAGCTAAAGTCTGTACACATTATATCACATATCAATAAAGAAAGAATGAATGCATTCATCTCTGCTTGTTTACAGTGTAAGAACAAAGGTTGGGCAGAGAAAGTCTCCTGTGTAGTTCCACCAGCTTTCATTCAACAGGATGAAAGAGATCTAGGTCTTACAGATGCTTTAAAAGGCAAAAGAGAATGTGGATGAGATTTCATGTTTCTTCTTCTTCTTGTGCCATATCCATTATTGGACATTGGCGATCATGTGGGCGATCCTGTTTTTATCAGCAGCTGCACGAAAAAGTGCTGCTGAGTTTTGTCCAAACCATTCCCTTAGATTTTGAAGCCACAATGTTCTTCTTCTGCCTGGACCTCATTTGCCTTCAAGCTTTCCCCGGAGGATTAAATGGAGTATGCCGTATTTTTCTGGGTGTCACATCACATGTCCAAAATATTCTAATTTTCATTTTTTAATTGTTTTGATGATTTCCCTTGGCTTTCCCAGGTGGCTTATCATCTCATTTCTGATCTTGTCAACCCAGCTTATAGGTAACAGCTGCCTGTCAATCCACATTTCAAATGCTTCTAGTCTCTTCAGATGGCCTTCTGTCAGAGACCAACTCTCTATTCCATAGAGCAGGATAGAAAAAATATAGCATCTGACAAGCCTGATTTTCAGTCTTAGGCTTATGTCATGACTGCAGAAGACCTTTTTCATTTTGAAGAATGCTGTTCGGGCTTTTTCTATCCTTGTCTTTACTTCAACAGTCATGTCCCAGCTTTTGTGTAAATTGGAACTGAGGTGTGTGATCCTTTCAACTTTTTCTAGTGGTATTCCTATTTCATGTTTGGGAAAGGTGAATTTATCTGGCTATGAAGCAGCCAATAAAACCTTAGAAATATTCTGATTTCTACTACAGAGTCTTCTCACACATGGTCTGCTTCCTTCATGGTTTCCACACTTCATTCAGCCATAGTAGAGCCAGGGTTGTCCTAAAGGTGCTTTTTCCAAAAGGCAGCTGGACTTTCTTGGTTCTTTTTCTTTGAAAACATTCCACTTCTCATCCACAAAGTTTCTTCAGTTCTGGAATGGATTCAGCGAAATGTTTTCAAAGGTTGCCTTTTGGGGAAAAAAGCACCTTTGCGACAACTGGGACCTGGATAATTGAGAATCTCCATAGAGAGTAGAGCCAGGGCTAAAGTTTTTGAACTTTTTTTCACTGACTTCTGGTAGAAGTTACAACCCATCCATTGGGAAAGAGCTGGTGAACTTCCTCTGTAGAAAACTGGAGAAAACAGCCACCAAATTTCTCTGCCTACAAGTTTGGTGGTAAAGTTTGAAAGGTCTTTTGTACCTCGTTTTACCCTGCTTTAGATTTTAATTTTATTTTCCTAACTCAAGGCTTACAAAGAAATTCAAATCTCCCACTCCAAGCTGAGTCAAAGAAAGGCTTTCTAACCAGTGCCTTAAAACAGGTTTCCCCCCCCCCAGGGAAATATTATTTTTCCCTGCATTGATGTTCCTTCTTTTAAAGCATCTTTTCAAACCTCGGGTAACGTTTTGCAGGGAAATCACAGCGATAGCAGAAAAAATGGAAAAGAAATGCAGCAGAATAGGGGAAAGCATCATGAAACATGACTTTAAAAAAATGGGCATGGTGGTTAGGGGACTAACCTGATTCACATATGACCTTTCAGTGCCCCGAGGTTAGCTCTGAATTAAATCACAAGTGAAATAATCAGAGAGGTTTTGCTTCAAAAATTAATGCTCTGTTTGACTCTTTTTGACAGAAGTTGAACAAAGATGCCAACAACCAAATTAAGGAGAATTTGATTGTCTGGCAATGTATCTTTTAATGGCACAACTGCATGCATATTTTGCTTATCTTGAACCAACGTTCTGCTGCTTTGGAGTTTTTGTTTGCTTTTGTTTTTCCCTTGTCCTTTCACAAACTGATTCAGAGTAACCCATAACAAGAACAATAATAGCAATATAAAATTAGCCATTGGCTAGTGAAGAATGTCATTAGATTCACCTTTTCTAATTCCTTGTCCCTCTATAAATTTATAAATTTATGGAGGAGGAGGAGGAGGAGGATGGGGAGGTCTTGTAAATGGATTGATAGACTATAGCTAGGCAGAGGAGGCTTACAAGCTCCTGAGTGGGGACCTGGCTTATATCCAAATCAATTTGGCTTATAAACAAGAATATTATTACACAGTTTGGGAAGGAAGTTACTCAGCATATTTCTAAGACAATCTGAAAAGAACCAAGGGTAGATCTTCCATCAGGGGAAAAATATTTGTGAAATTTCATGGAATTTCCAAGAAGAAGGAAAGTTTCTTGCATAACCTCAGGGTGTGCTTCATTTTCATCTACCAAAGAGAACCTGCTGCCCTTTCAGACATTAATGGATTCTAGCTTCTACTGTTCTCACCCAGAATTGCTTACAGGAATATAAGAGATCATGAAATCTGTAGACCGGCAACACCCTGAGAACCACACAGATTCCCATGTCTTACTCTAGTGCAATATTTGAATTACATTTGGAGATTCCTTCCTAAGTGCATAATTCTAATTCTGTGTCTTCTGGATCCCCCGAGCCAACCTGATTGGTTGTTCAATATGGCTACCCATCTGCATTGTCCAAATGCAGCCAGATACATTGGCAAGCTGTCAAAAGAGGTATATTCCAATATATCTTAAGATGGTTTCTTTGTCTCTTAATCATCTTGCCCCAAAGCACCAATATGTTTGCAGAAATCTCCCTTGATATCATCCAAGAAGCTAAGAAGTTATTACTATTGCTACTAACAAAAGAGAAGCTTGAGCATCTGTTTCCTTCCTTCTTCCCTTCCTTCCCCCTCCCTCCCTCCTTCCCTCCCTCCCTCTCTTCTTCCCTTCTTCCTTCCTTCCTTCTCTTCCTCCTCCTCCTCCTCTCTTCCCCAAAATATACCCTGTCTTCGGCTGTGCACATGGGTGTTTCTTGTAGTGCATTGAAATGGGTCATAGGGAGTGTCCTGCAAGAGAGAATGACAGAAAGCATTAGATAAATAACATATTTTAAATGGTTTATATCCCTGTAAGCAGTTTTTGTTTGAACTGGTTAAGTCCTGCCTGCATTGCCATATCATGAGGATACCCACAATATATTGTTAAAGTTCCAAATATGCCTATTTCCAACAAATGGGGGTACCTAGGAATGGCTATGGATTCATATCTCTATCATAATTTCCACTTCAATTCACTGCAGTATTTACTGTGGTAAATAAAAGATTGATTGATTGATTGATTTGATTGTTCAAAATTTCTGAACATCTTGACTTCAAACATTTTTAAGCATTCAGTAAATCCTTCATTTCAGAAAGAGGCAAGCTGCTACTACACAAGAGGCCTCAATCCAATAAAACCTACAAACAAAAATTAAGCCTCCATAACATTGTTACGCATTGGGCACAATCTAATTAACTAAAGAAACACTAAGTTATAATAACTAGAATTCAATGGGTTCCTATTTCTACATGGCCAAGGGACAGAAAACCTTTTGAAGATATTTGGTGTTCTATAAAAGAATCAAGCAGGATTAAGAAGTTTATGGAACAGTAAGTAAATCTTCTGAAAACTGAGAACAGCACTTTTCTTCTGTTCATTTAACAAAGCCGAGGAACTGTTGCATTTTTACGCTATGCTGAATGTCCAAGTCGCTGCTCTACTTCTCCAACAGGAGAAAGCACATTAGAATCCAAACAGAGGCTGGACTTCAATTTGTTTGTTATTTGTTGCTTCTGCTCAAGTGGGGTCGCAACATTAGAGAAATGAATGACGAACCAAGTGTTGGATGCCCTTTTAAGAAAGAAAAAAAAATCTTCCCCTGTGAGCTTTTAAGAGCATGTGACTTTCTTCACAAATTCTGAAGTACTGTGAGAATAAAAATCTTTCTCATGGGTATTTCTGCAGAAGCAGAAAGAGTTCCAAACTTGGGGATAAAAACTTGGATCCACAAGAGAATAAATAAATAAATGAAGCAAATTTTTGGACAAAGATGATAATTAGCATCTGTTTTAATCAACCGGCCAACTCTATCCATATATCCATCCATCCATCCATCCATCCATCCATCCATCCATCCATCCATCCATCCACTCTGACGGATGGTTATATTTTGTGTCAAATATGGCACAATCTTAGGCTGGCCAAACCAATGCAGGTAATCCTTAACTTACAACTGTTCATTTATTGACCATTCAAAGTTGCCACGGCACTGAAAAAAAGTGACTTGTGACCATTTTTCACACTTCCAACCATTGCAGCATCCCCAGGGTCACGTGATCAGAATCCAGGGGCTGGACCCCTGGCATGCATTTATGACAGTTGTGTTGTCCTGAGGTCATGTGATCGCCCTTCCCAGCCAGCTTCCGACAAGCCAAGATAATGGGGGAAGCTAGATTCATTTAACAACCCCACCATTCATTTAGCAGTGATTTGCTGAACAAATGTGGCAAAAAGGGTGTACAATGAGGCACAACTCGCTTAACAATTGTTTTGCTTGGCAGTGGAAATTTTAGCCTCCATTGTGGTCATACGTAGAGGACTACCTGCACTGTAAACCACGGTAGGAAAATTCAGATGTGTTTTATCTTGCTGGGGCACCGATCCGTTTTTCTTTCCTGTTGGGCCTGTGAACATAAGTAGAAAGCCAAACAGATAACAATTTAAAACAAAACAAAACATCTTTCAAACAAAAACTGCCTCTTAGACACGATGCCTTTAAGCACCACTTCCTGACCTTTTTTTTTTTTTTTTTTGGCAACATGAAGGAAACCCAATAGCTCTGTATCCTCTCCAGCCATTTATATGTATGTTGAGAGAGAGAGAAAAAACACTCAACCAAAATATACATACTGAGATCTGAGAATTCAACGGGAGAGAAAGAGAAGAAAAAGTATTTCATGTATTTCTCACTCTTTCTATAAATACACAAGAATGCTCTTCCCATCTGACTCTCTCATGGGTCACGAAGAATTTCATGTGGATGTGAACTTTGCCGTTCATATTAGGAAAAATAGTGGTGTTTTCACAAGTTAACTCATGCCTGGAAAAAATCCCAGTTTTGCAAGTTGCTCTAATTGCCTTGCCAATTGTCCGTGGGAATATTCAGGATGGGAACATTTCAAGGCTTCTCCAGAAGAATTCAGTTAATGGAAAAATGGGAGGAGGGAATGAATAAGAGGGTGAAGCTACCATGTGGCTCTTCAAGGGAAACCAGAGTGAAATGTGTTTCACCCCCTTTTTTTGTTGTTATTGTTGTTGTTGTATGGAACTTTGTGTTTCCAAAACTGTTTTAACTTTTATTTTAATCTCTTTAAGGATTTGGCTTATTTTAATCTTTTAAGGATTTTGCCCAGGTGATTCACTCTAACTTCAAGAAACTTTGCTACTTTTAATAACCCCAAGTTGCCTTGGAAACAAACTTGGTTTATTTTTATTTTTCCAATGAATCATTTTTAACCCCCTTTCTTTTCCATCATCTCCCTTTTTACGACCCTGTTTTCTTTTCCATCATCACCATATCAAATCTTTAATATGGGTTTTTCAAAGCTACTATTTCTTCAATGATTAAGAACTTAGTATTGGTATATATAATCCAGGGCTTAGGCAGAGGCATCCATAGATGAGAATGGAGGGGTTCAACAAAGCCAAGATTGTGGTTTGTATGGGTAGTCCTTGATTTACAACAGTTCGTTTAGCGACCGTTTGAAGTTACAATGGCATTGAAAAAAGTGACTTATGACCGTTTTTCACATTTACAACTATTGCAACATGCACACACCGGTCATTTGATCAAAACTGAGCTGCTTAGCAACTGACCCATATTTATGATGGTTGCCGTGTCCCAGGGTCATGTGACTGCCTTTTGTGACCCTCTGAAAAGCAAAGTCAATGGGGAAAGATTTACTTAACAACTGTCTGACTTAGCAACAGCAATGATTCTTTTAACTGTGGCAAGAAAGGTCGCAAAATGAGGCAAAACTCACTTTACAACTGAATTTGAAGGGAAAAGTGAATTATTTTCTTTTCTAAATAGAAATGAACAGCCACCAATTAAATAGCTCTAACCTTAAGCCCAACTAATTTTAAATGAAGGACTCCGAAATTGTTAAGTACATTTTGCAAAACCTGGAACACCCAAAGAAAGTCCATATTGGGTCTTGATCTTTGTACACTTGCAATGTGGCTTCCTAGATTTGTCTAAATCCATTCTGGGAAATATTTTGTTCCTTGCAGCATGTAAATGCAGACAGTGCAAAATATATTTTGCTTTATATTGCACAGGTTTATATAAAATCCCAACTTGCTAGTGACAAAACATCTCTATTTTCCTATATAGCCCTTCATGCAATAATGAAAAAGAATATGTAAAGAATTAATGGATAAATGAATTTTCGTATTACCTTTATTAAATGAATTTCTTTCTTTCTTACTAAAATATAAAAATAAAATAAATATGAGGTAAGTACAATGCAACACTCATAATATAATCAGGAATAATTCCAAAATTAGTTTATGATTAGCAAAAGGTAAGTTCTACAAGCTACAAATGCAAATTTATCAACAATGTGTGTTGTTGCAGATTTTTATCTGCCAAGAGATGTTTTACTTAAAACAGATAATGTACACATTTACTTTTATGTTGACCATAGTATGAATTAAATAGAACAATGTTAAAGTTTCTATAATTACACTAATTTCTATTTGTTTGATAAAGCACAGATTTAAGGCATTCACTTGATTGGATCCAGTTTGATGATTTAAACCCATTTGGAAAATTGAACTTTTGTGCAAAAGCCTTCCAAATCATCAGCTTGATTCAGATGCATCTGATTTGATTTGACAATCTGATTTCACTTCCAGATTGATTTCAGGGTTGATAAGGTTCAATCATTCAGTCAAACTGGTGTTGAATTGCATCGTTGAACTAACGTCTGCATAGCTAATGCATAGTGCCTAACTTTTCCAAAATCCATCTAATTTCACTTATGATTCAGTTAATTTATCTTCAACAATTATTTTCAGGCATTTAAAAACGATTCTTGTGTTTAAAAAAGAAACGGGAGAGAGGAATTGGAAAAGCCCTACATAGCTCTGTTTGACTAGATCCCTTAGCCAACTATTTGAAAAGTTGCATTTAAGACATGTTTATGGGAACTGCTTGAACACTTGAGAAACGGAGGAAACATATGAGTAGTATTTTACATATTTAGATGAATTCAATGAGCTGTTGGACAATTGTTAAAGACTGACCTCACTTTCTTCTCATGTGAAATGTTGCAGTGTTAATAACCATTTACATAGTTTCTTAATTTTCTCCCACTCAACCAACAATTTCCCACTGTATCTCTATAACAGTATATCCCAAGGTCAATATTCGCCTGCTTTCAATCACAAGTGTGATTTAAAAAAAAAAAAAAGGCTGAGCTGTTTTACATATTTTCATCTGTACTGGATCAGCTGTCACATAAAACTAAAAGAAGGGGAAATGAAATTAGACTTTTTTTTTTTAAGGCCGTGCAGCATAACTGAATAAGGCACTTCATGAAAGCACAAATACAGGACGTACCTATAGGTTTTTAAAGCAGCTGTGTCTTTTTCCCAGGACCACACAGCAATTATGAAAGGCTCCAGAAATGAAGCCCAGTAAAACTCTAGTACTTTTTTGTGTGAACTTTTGTTACTAAAAAATAAAAAAATAACAGAATATGCTATTTTTCCCTACCCTCTCTCAGCCAATTTATTTAAATTCAGGAAGATTATTCCTTATCTGAGATTAAGCTGCACCATTATTTCTAAATATAAAGTAATCCTGGAGCAAATCTATCTATCTAGGTGATCACAAAGAGTCAACACTGACTTGATGATACATAATCAATCAATTTTATTTGTGTATGTATATATCTATGTAGGCACTGCATTTATAATTCCTAAAATTATGTATGCTTCTTTTTTTCCCACATGGAACTTTTCCAAATGCATCTACCATATTTTCCAGCGTATAAGATGACTTTCTAAAGCATGCAAATCGTCTCCGAAGTCGGGGGTCATCTTATATGCCGAGTCGTCTTATACGCCGGAAAATACGGTACTTTCCATAATATCTTTTTGTGAATTGGGACAGTGCCCCATCACTGGAGGTTTTAAGAAGAGACTGGACAGCCATTTTTCTGGAATGGTAGGGGGTCTTCTGCTTGAGCCCCAGAGGGTTGGACTAGAAGACCCCCCAAGGTCCCTTCCAACTGTGTTATACTGTATTCTATATTCTGAGATCCATACTCAAAATAAGAAAGAATTTCCTGGCATTGAGAACAATGAATCAGTGGAACAGCTTGCCTTCAGAAGTTGTGGGTGCTCCATCACTATAGATTTTCAAGAAGAAGGTGGACAGCCATTTGTCCAAAATGATACAGAGTCTCCAGCTTGAGCAGAGGGTTGGACTAGAAGATCTCCAAGGTCCCTTCCAATTCTGTTATTCTGTTAAATGCTCATTATTGCTGGCTGGTGTTTTTGTTTTTTTTTAATGGATCTTGCCCATTTGCTCCCAGGGTGCCTATCTATTTCAAGCCCTTTCATTCAAGAGTCTAAACCTGAAAATCATTTCACAAAGTATCACAATAAAAACTCCAGAAAGAACAAGTGTGGTTTCTTATTTGGAGGCTGAATATCTTTCATTTTCAACAGAATGAGCATAAAACAAAACCCAGTTATTGATCTCTTAGCAGACAAAGAGTGTAAAGAAACTCAAGGAACCAGCCACACAAAAGCTTGACCTTTTTGACCTCCTAAGGTCTAAGCAGGCCTAGACAACTGTTGAAGCCAGCTCCTCCTCCTGTCCCCCTGCCCTCTGCTGCTTGAGAATTGCTCTAGGGAGAAAGAAAGAGAAAAAGTAAGTATTGTTCACACAACCTCCCACACATGCTCAAGACTGAAAAGGCCCCAAGATCTTATAATTGCATATCAACACTGGGAAGGAAAGTCCCATGTTCATTTTCAAGGTAATACTGTATTTAAAAGAAAAAAAAAGGGGGGGGGAGGCAGATGGTTGTAAAGATCTGAATTCTCTAAAATTTAAAAGCTAATTTTGTGTCTTCTACTCAATCTCTGGTGCAGCAAGGAAGAATTTATGAAGTCACTTCTAGTGTTAAAAGGAGCCCTAATGGCTGAGTACAACAGTTCAGCAGGTGCCCAGTAGAAATATAGGGAGATTATATCAATATTAATCTTAGTGGTGTCAAAATCATGTTTCTCCTGAATTTTAATCAGCGGTGATCAGAAAGAAAGGGAAGTCAATGAGTAGAACTCCAGTTTAGACTTAAAATAGTTGTCACAGGGCCTCAGAAGAGTGACAGGGCATTTACATACCAATGGGGATCTAGTTATCTGTCTATCATCTCTCTCACTATCAATTGTGTCCGTCTGTATGTCTGTCCGTCCGTCCGTCCATCCATCCATCCATCCATCCATCCATCCATCTATCTATCTATCTATCTATCTATCTATCTATCTATCTATCTATCTATCTTTTATCTGTCATCTAGCTAGCTAGCTATCACATAACATGCCATTTAATGACCCCTGAGGAAAAATATATATATTTATGATCCAGTTTTCCATCTAGGTCTAATATTTTTATGCAAATACAAATCAAATCTGTGCATGCAGAACATCAAATGTTAGACCTTTCTTCACTGGTTGAACCCAAGTTGCGTTCATGCCCAATTTTTTTTCCCCATTTAGTGAGGAAGTTGACTTGACAAAATTGAGCAAATTTTTGAGTGTAGAAATTTGAGAAGCTTTGGTCCAAAGTGTAAAGAACACATTGTATAAACAAACCGAGCACAAAAGAACATGACCAAGTGATAAATCTTGACAGGTTTACAAAATGTAATGAAACTCTTCCTTCAGTCTTAAAAGGAAGGGAAGGCCTCCTGCATGGTTCAACATCTGTACACTCAACAGGTGGCCATTATTCTGCTGAGAAATTGGAGCACTAAAACTGACGTGGCAAATTAAAAGCGTTGCTGATTGGTGTCTCCACTCCTGCCTAGCATAGAGAGATCCTAAGAATATGGAGCCCAAACAGAGGATCAGAGTGAGATAGATGAATGCTTCCCAAATGACTTTGTCATGCCAGGATCTCTTCTCTTCTCTTCTCTTCTCTTCTCTTCTCTTCTCTTCTCTTCTCTTCTCTTCTCTTCTCTTCTCTTCTCTTCTCTTCTTCTCTCCTCTCCTCTCCTCTCTCAATGTGTATACTGCACTGCACTGATTTAAAATCTCTTCCCTACTTAAAAAAAGGGGGTACTTCATCCTTAATTGGGGACTACAGCACAGTCTTCCAATCCAAAGCCAGATACTATTGATAACTCACTGGATGAACCACTATGCTATTTTGAGCTGAAAACTATAATTCCATTTTTTTCCTTTTGGGCAAAAGAAAAAAAAAATTCCTCCCCAAAAGTCCTGGGAACACCAGAATTGCTAGGAGGTGGAAGCTGTTTAGTCCAGGTCTTGCTCTATTTATTTCTAATAAGCTTCTCTGGTGGGGTTGTCAGTTGTGCTGGAGTAAATCTCATCTTGTAAAACTCCTTAAAGCTGTTGTCTGGGGAACTATTTTGTGCTTGTTAATAGTAAGCCTGAATCAAGAGAAGCCAAGGTTACGGATTGAATGCAGACTTGGCATACAAAATTGCAAAGATCTATAAACCTAGGCTGGTCTCAGAGGTCAGCAGAGTTGGATGGTCATTGAGGCCCATTACAGGATGTCTGTTGATGCATCTTTATTTTCTTCATCCACCTCATTGCCAATGTTGTCAAGTATTGGTGGTAGCAACTTGACAGGGATCCATTTCTAGACTGAAACAGTTAATGAGTCAAAGCATCCCACCAGGCCACTTGACCTATGGGAAAGGCTTCACTGCAAGTATAGTAAAAATAAAGAGGTCCCCCTGCTGAAGTGAGCTGATGTCAGCCCTTCCAGGTCAACAAGACAGGAAACATGACATGATGAATGAATCCTACCATATTCTAAGGATACAGTAACAGAATCCTGCAAGTCTGAAAGTCTGAAAGTTAATGACCGACAACTTAACCACCATTCAAAGTCATAATGGATTCAAACAAAGTTACTTATGAAGTTACAACTGAAGCATCTCCCTCCCTGTAGTCATATGATTACATTTTGGATGCTTGGCAAGAAGATCACATTTACAACCAGTTGCAGCATTCTGTAGTCATCCGGCAACTGATCCTCTGAAAAGGGACTTGATTCAGACTTCATCAATCAATCAATCAGAATAGAGCTGGAAGGGACCTTGGAGGTCTTCTATACCACTCCAGACAAGTGGCTGTCCAATCTCTTCTTTAAAACCTCCAGTGATGAAGCACCCACAACTTCTGAAGGCAAGCTGTTCAACTTTGTCCTCACTGTTA